AAGGCCAGAAAGAACGATTCCACTGAGAAGCCATTATAAAGAGGGGGAGCTAACACTAAACACAATATAACTGGAGACTGCTACAATGGATTGCTCCTGGACCAATGAACACTAAGCACTAATAAAAACAGAATTAAAGGGAAAGCAACACAAAATGTGATACCCAAAGAAAGTTTTCTACTCTTTTTTTTTTTCTCCAGTTTAACAGACATGAACCTCTTTTGTGTTTTCCTGCAGGAAGCAGCCATGGCCAAACTCGCCGCGTCAGAAGCCGCCACATTCTGCTCTCATCAGGTAAGAAGAATCGACCACGCAGACGGTTAAGCGTGCAGAAAGAGACGGGACGTTTTTAACTTTGGTGTGTTTGCACTTTTACATCAGGCGATCCAGGTTCTGGGTGGGATGGGCTACGTGTCAGACATGCCCGCTGAGAGGCACTACCGCGACGCTCGCATCACAGAGATCTACGAGGGCACGAGTGAGATCCAGAGGCTGGTGATCGCCGGCCAGATCCTGAAGGAATACCAAGCATAGACGCCGCACGCCACAATATGGACGAGTAATAATCACGCACACTGGGACATCACCTCATTCATTCAGATTTCAAAGGAGCCGCGTTGATCGGGTGAGACCTCATTTGAGTTTCACGTGATTGTGCGTGCCCGTTACCTCCGCCGTCTCGTGTGTCGTACTACAGGAGACGCCACTTACTGTTTGGAAAAGAGCGCCGGTGACTTCAACAGCGCCTTCCTGAAAAGTTGAGTGATTTTCAATTTGACGGATGGAGCGGATGGAGCGCTCAGAAAAAAGACGCTGGCGTTTGATTTTTCTCAAGGCGGCTGCTTTCTCCTGAGAACGATCTCAGACGCTGGCGCTCAGAAAAAAAAAAACCAGGTGGACACGGGGCCTTCGATGTCATTTTATAACACATCTCTGCAAAGAACTTTAAAAAGCAACTCATAAAAACGTCCCTGTCGACCTTATTTTACTGACTGACATGTTGAGTAATTTGTGAATGTGAAGAGCTGCAGATTAAAGCGTCACTTTCCCGTTGTGGTTATATCCATAACTTTAGAGCGCTCGCCTTTTAAATAAAACACATAGAAATGTTGTGGTTTGTAAAAGACGAAACAGAAGCTGTGTGGTTGACCTTAAAGGAAGAATGTGCAACTTTTTTTGATCCAGTAGATGTCGCCCATGAGCTCCAGAATTAAACCAAAACAAACTGCTGTTAGGCCACGCCTCCTCCAGAGACACACCTCCAACCCCCCCGTCCCCTCACGCTCACAGGAAGGAGTTGTTGATTAAGAACGCACCATAATTAAAATGGTCCTTATCTCGAGCTGCAATCACTTGTGTTAGCATGCTAATGTTAGCGCTCTTTAGTTAGCTCGTAGCTTCACATTTCATGTAAACTGACACAGAATGAGCGTGATCTAAAAACTCTTACTAACATCCAAATAATCAGTGAGTATGTTCTTCTTCTTCTCTCTAGTTCTTGACTAAAACAGCTTTTATACACAAGGGGAGGAGCCGGCCGTCCCGTCCATGTAAACACGGCTCTGACAACAACACAGCCAGCGGGACTCGAGCTTCTCCCTCATTGTAGACAGTCAGGACTCAGAGACACATTTACACAGGACAGACTTTATGATTTATTTATGTGGAACATGTCGATCATTCTTCCTTTAAAGGTGCTAACGATGTTCAGGTTATCTGCAGTTTGTGAACGCCACTTTTTCTCCAATATTACCTGTCAAACATTACAGAAAAAAAGTTCCTCCAGGTGTCGCCTTTTCAGTGATAAACATCCAAAATGTAGATTGTAAAAGACGAGACGGACGCTCCAGGCTCGACCTTAAAGGTGCTCAAAAGTTCTGATTATGTGGAGAAGAAATCTTGTGTACTGACCCTTTAAGATCCAGTCTGCCTACATGAGGAAAAACACCTTCTTTTTTTTCTTGCATTTTGCAGTTTGGCCAGCAGAGGGCGACGGCATGCTTTCATATGTGTTGACCTACTTTTTCCTGCCTCACAGATTCATGAATGAGTGGAAATAAAAGCCAGAATGTGCAGATGAAAAAAAAACCCTCCTTCAATCTGGAAGTGAACAAACATGTGATCACTTTATGAAACGGTTTGAAACACTTCACGTCTGTTTTCTTTGTTTTTCATCTCAGACTTCTTGTGCCTCGGTAACGTGTACATATTTTACTGTAATTTATAGTGTGATGATTAAAACATAATTACAGCTCAGAGGAATGATGGATTTTATTTTAACATTTAGAATTTAAAGAGGTGAAAGAAGATGTTGGACTGAAGTTAAAGGTCAATCAGTGACAGCCCCCTCCCCTCTGTGCTCCCTCTAAGCCACGCCCCTCACTTACATACACGAGCGCCGTCCCTCCAGAAGTGGACCTCAGCTCATCTCTGTCATTGTGTAGAAACTACGTCGTCTCATGTCTCATTCAGCGGTCAGTAAACTCACAGTTTAAACTCCTAAAGTCATCGGTGACGCTCTTTGAGTGTGAGCTAGAGCACACAAGAGGTAGAGAGCGAGCAGGGAGACAGGGAGGCGTCTGATTGGTTCATCAGATTGGTACCTCGTGGCAGACATTGGTCAAAGTTTTTACAGACTTACAAACTGATACAGATGATGGATTTACTTTGTTCCTTTTTCAGAGAACATGAGTTATTCATTTCTGTCAGGACCTAAAGACAATTTACACCAGAATCTGAAGAAGTGAATCTGGAGGAAATGACCAACCCTGACTTTAAATAACGTCTTAATGCAGCACGTTAAATAAACCTTAAAGGTGGAGTCAGGAGCATCACGTTCTATAATTTAATCTTTGAACACATCAAGTCAAACTTCCCCTTCAGGACTTTTTCTTCTTCCTGTCCGACCTGACGGACGAGTCGGAGACGACACCGATCGTCTTGATCTGAAACTTTCAGACGTCACAGCTTTAGACTGGAGTTAAAGAAACACCTGAATGAATCAGAATAACTTTATAATTACTGACAGAGACAAACTCCTCCTCTCAGGAGAGACACTCCTCCATGATGACATTTACAAGATCAATAAAACACAACAGCAGATAGAAAGAGGGATTCAGATCAAGTGTAGAAGCTTTACTGATCCCGAGGGAAATTCAAAGTATCCAGTATCAGGTTACAAAGACATGACATGAAACATTTGTGACAAATTAACCACAAACAGACGCCCCCCCCATACATATATATTAACCTGAAAAAAAGATTTAAAGAATCCCCCTAGATGAATCAAACTTAAACTGTGCAATTAAAAATACAAAAAAAGAAAGAAAGTCGTAGCGACTATATGACATATGAATGAAATGATAAAAAGATTAAGTGATAATAAAAGAAAAAGTAAACATATGAAGTAAATTATAAATTGATTAAATGATAATAAAAGAAAAAGAACATATACGATAAAAACAAATTCAACAATTGCATAACTCTTTCTGATCTCTCAACAACTGTGGAGTGATTTCAGATCACCGTGTGCAGATTATAATCTCTCCCTGCAGGGTAATAACTCCAGCACACAGAGATACAGACGATGATGCCTTCAGGGACTCCTCAGAGTTCAAGTGAAAAAGAGACGACAGTTAACCAGTTAACACGCTGAGCAGATTATATTTAAAGACACTCCAACAAACCGACCAATCAGGATCGAGATTTTACCTGCTCTTCATCATCATCATCACATCTTCATCACATCATCATCATCACATCATCATCATCTTCATCATCATCACATCTTCATCATCATCACATCATCATCATCATCACATCATCATCATCATCATCATCATCACATCTTCATCATCATCATCACATCATCATCACATCTTCATCATCATCACATCTTCATCATCATCATCATCATCATCATCATCATCATCACATCTTCATCATCATCACATCATCATCATCACATCATCATCACATCTTCATCATCATCATCATCATCATCATCACATCTTCATCATCATCATCATCTTCATCACATCTTCATCATCATCATCACATCTTCATCATCATCATCATCATCATCACATCTTCATCATCATCATCATCATCAACATCTTCATCATCTTCATCATCATCTTCATCATCATCATCATCACATCATCATCATCATCAGATCATCATCATCATCATCATCATCATCACACTTCATCTTCATCATCATCATCATCATCACATCATCACATCATCATCATCACATCATCATCATCATCATCTTCATCATCATCACATCTTCATCATCATCATCATCATCATCATCATCATCATCACATCATCATCATCATCATCATCATCACATCTTCATCATCATCATCATCATCATCACATCTTCATCTTCATCATCATCATCTCATCATCTTCATCATCATCACATCATCATCATCATCACATCATCATCATCATCATCATCATCATCTTCATCATCTTAGATCTTCTCTGGTAAAATCTTCAGTGGGAGTTTATCATAAGTGATAATGAATGGAAACATCCTCTCAGTGTGTGTGTGTGTATGTGTGTGTGTGTGTGTGTATGTGTGTGTGTGTGTGTATGTGTGTGTGTGTGTGTATGTGTGTGTTAGTATCAGGATCAGAGAACGACAGCTCTCCTCTGTTACAGTCCAGATTCACTCTGATCCTCTGAGGATTCTTCTTCACTGAGAGACAGAGAGTGGATGTGATGGGGAGATGCTGTGTATTCACCATCATCGAACCCTATGACCATAATCCAGACATATGTCTCCCTTCCTCTCTACAGACTCTGCTAACACACCCAGTTCCCAGTCTGTACTGTCTCCAACCTGGACGTCCCAGCTGTGAGTCCCTGAGTTAAAGCCCTCAGAGCCCAGGACAGAGCAAGAATCAATCCTCTCTGGATTATCAGGAAGCTGCTGTCTCTCTCCTCCTCTCACACAGGTCAGATCTTCAGACAGGATGAGGAATGGACCAGCAGTGTTTGGGTCCAGAATGACCGGACTGTAGGAGACCATGTCCTTCATCTTGTTCCAGATGTTGAAGCTCAGGTTGCCCAGGTGTTTGGCCTGGTCTATCAGAGCTCCTGAGGGCAGCTGTGGATCCTCCAGCAGGGGGCGCTGCTGGACTCTTTCCACTGCAGCCTTGTAGTTTTTCAGGAATGAGACGTCTTCAGCTCTCAGCTCGTCCTCTGTGTCTCTGACTGTGTGTGAAAGAGCTGCTATCTCTCTGCTCAGAGCCTCCATCTCCTCCTTCATCCTCTGACTCTTCTGCTCCTCTTCCTCCCTCAGTGCACACAGCCTGGCCTCCTCTTCCTCTTCTAGAAACTGGTGAAGCTTCTTAAACTGCTCCTTAATCTGCCTCTCTGTGTGTCGGGCCTGGACCTGAATGTGTTCTGCTGTTTGATCAAACTTCACTTTAACTTCTTTAAAAACATTTAACTTCTTCTTTACCGGCTCCAGAGTTTCCTGAAGTTTCTTCTTGTGTTGTCCAGCAGCTTCATCGATGGGTCTGATTGTGTGTTTGCTGTGTTTTTCTGAAGTCATGCAGACGAGACACACCGGCTCCTGATGGTCCAGACAGAAGAGTTTGAGTTTCTCAGAGTGCAGACTGCAGAGATCCTCTGAAGCTCTCTGATCTCTCTCCTGCACAAAACTCTCACTCAGGTTCTTTAAAGCAAAGTTAACAGGTAATAAATCCTTTGAGTGTCTCCTCTTACAGAGTGGACACTCCTGGTTCTCCTTCTCCTTCCAGCAGTTCTTCACACACTCTCTACAGAAGCTGTGGCTGCAGGACAGCATCACTGGATCTTTAAAGATGTCGAGGCAGATCGGACAGCTCAGATCTTCTTCAAACTTGGACGC